ATATACATTTTATTAGCTTTTTTCCATAATTTATTTTTTTTTATATTTTTTCGGATTTCTGTGTATTTTTGACCATGACGGTACCAAGTGTTACTTTTTATTTTTCAACCCTTTAACATGTCCAAATCAGGTCCATGTTTTATGCATTTATTTATTTATTTTTGCGTGTTCACATAGCTAATATACTGAAAAAAAATGATGCTCAATTTTTTTAAGGTAAGTGGTTGCAATAAATGACCAACAGAAAGACAGAGGCAGAACATCCCTTTAGTTTTCCTTGCAGCCTGTTGAATGCATTGCCCACATCAAACACTTTTAACAGAGTAACCGCACAATCAGATCCCTTCAGATTGGGGGACAGAGAGAGGGAAAGGGGGGGAAACGGGCCCTTTCTCACTAAACAATACCATTATTTCAGCTCCCTTGGCCAAGAATGCCACATTTCACAGCCCACTACCCTCCTCCAGATGTCAATCAAAGCTCACTGGCGACTCAAGCGCCACCCAGAACCAGCCCTGGCCCGACCCACAAAATCCCCCATAATCTGTGTAAAATCTTATGAGAGAAAGGTGCATATTTATATTTATGTCAAGTATTACAAAATAGCGTTTTTAGTTCAAATGTACTTTTTAGAGATCAGTGCATTTTCATTTTGTAAAGCTCTAAATAAAATGTAAAAGAATATATTAATTAGGCTACACTGAAAACAATTATACTCATTTTTTTAAGGTAGGTGGTTGCAAACTATTTATTTTAGCTACATTTAAAAAATAAAAACATGTTGAAAGTTAGTCAACTAAATTTGTTTATTTCAATGTAGCTAAAATAAATTGATTGCAACCACTTACCTTAAACAAATTTAGTAAATTCAATGAATCATTTCTTTTTTTCAGTGTATGACAAGTCACCAAGTCTCATCTCATTCTGATGGAGCAAAAAAAATTTAAAAAATAAAAATGTATCGTTTTTCAGTCAGATGTGACCAAAGAGGCCGAGAGGGTTAAAGGGTTAGTTCACCCAAAAATAAAAATTCTGTCTTTAATTTCTCACCCTCATGTCGTTCCAAACCTGTAAGACCTTCGTTCATCAATCAAATTAAGATATTTTTGATGAAATCCATGAGCTTTCTGACCCTAGACAGATC